ACCTGAACCAAATGTTGCTTAGTCAATGAATGGCAACTATTTCCATATAAGGAAACTGTTAATATTAACATTACTTCATTTTGGTTTAGATGAAGTACTCTTGTGTACCAAATAGAAATGCCTGCGCGATTAAATTGTTTCCTTCAATGCCATTAAATCGGTTCTGTGCTTATATATGATATGTTGATGCAATGGATAACGGCTCCAAATTGGAAATTGGGGAACCGCGTTCCAATCCCATTCTGGTTTATTATGTTCACTTAGGCGTAAATATGACAGGGAAAGGTATAAATCCACGTCTTTTCTCCCTAGTTATGGGTTAAATACTAGTAAATCCTTATTGTCTCGAAAAATCCTTACAGCCCCAAAATATTTTCTGATCTTTTAAATAACTTGCAAAAGGGAGATAAGCTATTAAAATCAATTTATTATTTGTTTCTTTTTTTTAAGAAAATCTGAGTTTTTTTTTATGCTGAAGATCACTCAGTCCAATGTTCGTGAGCCACTCAAGGTGGAGCGCTTCTGTTAGAATCATTGAGGAATGATGATATGAAGTAAATGGAGGTGGTAGAAAGTGAACATTGTGGATAAAGATATTTGATAACGATTAACTCCTGACTTGATATGTTAAAAATTGTAGTGTTCGGGAAATAAACCCCGTGGGAGTCTATTCCACAAAGGAACATTTTTTTAGCGTGGGTGGGGGGAGTTGATTGAATTTTTCTGTTAACAACTGGAATACAGAGAAAATGAGGGTAATCTGACTCCGTGGAAGTGACATGTCCTTACTATAACAGGAGGACAGATGACGGAGTGAATCAAGCAGATCGATTATAGTACTTCATCGACTAGCTGTACTTCGACTAAAAAGACGTGGAAAGAAGATAAAAATTGAAATAGTCCGAACATTTTTTTTGAGTTGTCCGAATTAAACCCATTCTAATATTTCATCTAAGGCAAAGTTTTCGAAGCAATGATTGTTTGAGAAATATTTAAGTTGGTTTCTCCTTGAAATAGAAGCTACCCTTAAAACACATCTATTTTAATCCAGCTTCGGGAATTACCACGGAAAAAAACGCATGCAGCCAGCTGAAAACAAACAAAAAATCGGCACGTTTTTTAAGAAAAATATATAATCTATATAAATGAATGCGAATGTCAGTGCGTCAGAATTTTTCAACTTTACTCCTAGAGGCCGTAACCCAATATATACTATTTTGGACTCAGACTGACTCCGTGAGTAAATTAAAACCATTCCGGTCCGGATTCGAACCCACAATTCTGAAATTTGGGATTCCCAAGTTTTCATTACTGTATTTGTTTTCGGTTTTTTTTTTTTTTTTTTTTTTTTCGAACTTTTTGTACGATAACAATTTTTATAACTTGGAAATAAATTTGAGAATAATCGAAATTTATTGCGAAATCCAGCGAAAGTCACCCATGAAATAAAAGTAATTGTTTGTACGGAAAGTTAGGGCCTACGTACATCACCTTTAAATTAAATGGCAACAGAAGAATTATCGTTGAACTTTTGAAAATTAATCATAAATATCAATGCATTACTTAAATGCAGCGATCAATTTTGAGTTTTCCTGTAGTTTATTGTTGCCTATCGATTACGACAGCAGAAAGAAATCTCCGCTAAGAAGGTACCAGATAGCAGTCAAAAACTAAGGCCACAACGAAGAAAAGAAAGTTCCGTGCAAATGAAAATCCATATCAAGCGGCAGCCAGGAGAGTTTCCAATGCTGAGAATATGCAAAGACTTGCGTACTCTCAAACTCCGTTTAATTGCCACCCGATAGGGTAGCTTTTAAGCTAGGCAATAACTTGAACAAAACATTTGAAAAGGTTATTTGATGATATAAATGTTATTTATGTTCCATTGAAAAATAATTCTGTCTTCATTCTTTTTCGATAATTTAGGTATTCAATTATACGGAATTTTGAATTTTTCGAGAATATTTTTCAAGCCTCTCCCAAGGTGTCTGGAAAGTTGAGGAAGTACTCTCCTCTGTACTAAGTTCGATTCTCAATTGGTGTCTTGTGTCCGTGGCCTTGTGTCATTTTAAGCTTTGTATTTACGTATAAAATCTAAAGAAGTCAGTCCTGCATATTACAGAGCCAAATTGACGGGCTGATAATCCATTTGATTTTTAATCTCCGCCGTCTTAATTTTTTGTTTTGTTTGCTTTGAATTTCTGTATACATTTTGTGTTGCATACTCCGACCTCGAAGTTAGCGACTATTGCACAAGTTTGTACTTACTCACAAGTAAAGCACTTCATTTTGTAAAAAATTGTGTTTTTTTTTTTTTTTTTTCACGTGTCAGGGAAACATTTTCTCTTCACGGCGTCAATCCCCAAAACTGTTCGCTGCCCAGACCGGAGCTTCATTCACTAGCCGTCAAGGGTCACTTGACCGGACAGGCGTCATGCATACTGATTAAGGAAGAGGAAGAAAATTTAATACAACAATGTATTTGATTTGCTCATTGTCTTTTCGTATCGAGATGCAGATTCTAATGTCATAAATATTGTTTTAGATTGATTGTTAGTCCGAAAGACTTTAAACCTTCAACTCTGCGTTGGACAGTGACATTTATTCCGAATGCCAGCATCCAAGACAATTGACCTTGGTTAGACTTGGGTTGTGTCTGTGACTGAAATAATACTATAGATCAAACGAAGATCGTATATAAATATAGATCAATGTTTATAAATAATGATTTCACGTGTTTTTTTTTGGGGGGGGGTTACTCTTGCGTGGGGAATTTCTCTGAAATGAAATCATTTTTTTTTCTTCAGTGAATCTGTGTAGATTCTATAAAGCAATTTTATCTCGTTTTATTACAGCTTACAATGACGTTAGTGTAGGTTCGTTTGACAAAGTGTAACATTATTATAAAGGGTAACCTTAGTTACAGTCGGATTTGATGGGTAAAATATTATATTAAAGGAGAGAAAATTGCCGGAGGGTTTTTCTGTGTCATTCATTGAATAATTACCATAATGGCTCAATAGTCTGATACGGATGATATGAGGAGGCACCTTAGAGTAAGAGATAGCGGCTCGAATTAAGGAAGCGGAGAGCCGAGTTCAAATCCCAGTCGAATCCATTACATTCACTTATGTGCTAATACCCTCGAAAAAAATATGAATCCTCTTCTGCTCCCCTCAGTTCTGGGTAAATATTGCCTTAGATAAAATTAATATAATGAATATTATCAATGATAACACATTTAATCTGCATTAGCCATTGACAATATACTCTAAAGTCTAAGCAAACAGGAGTTGTCAGGTAGGTAATTTCGGCCGACTATCGTGAATTTTAAACCTACAGATGGCATATGAGACACAAGGGAATTTTGAATATATTTTTAGTAAAAAAAAAAAAGTGCGTCTTATATGCCGTTAAATTCGGTATTTAATAATTACCGGTTGATGCTACATTAAATTTTATAAGCCATTCAAGTCAAATTACCTTTACGTTTTGTTCTACTGGAAGAAGTCGTTTAAATGTTTCATTTATATAAATGAATGAGGCGTACGTAAAATTGTTATAAGAAATTATAGGATATTAAAATAAACTTCTGTAGAGTAGATTTGAAATGAAATAAATATTGGTTGATTTTTATTTTTTATCACAATTTTTTCCCGATTTATGTTTCCGCCATTAAAAGAACGTGAAATCGAAATAAAAATGAACTTTCAAAGGAACATGACATCACATCTCGAAACTTGATAGCTCGGCTTACATGGACGAAATGTTAAACATCTATAGTAGCTTTTATTTAGAACTCCCATCAGTAATTATTTTACAGTACCTCCACTTGAGGTTTTATTTTGATAGTAAACTGAAATGCTAAAGAAAGAGTTTTTTAATAACATAGCTCTTATCTAAACCTATATAGCGGCAGCTATGCGACATGGCATTATTTTACGATATATATATATATATATATATTCCCGGGTTTCCGCAATTAAGACATATGTGTTAGATGTGCCTGCAAGGAATTTTGCGTGTTCTAAATGTTTAATACATTCTCAATAGAACTTAACTCCGGTGAGCTCAGGAATCAAGTGAGTTACTCGAAGACAACTGAGGTTTCCTGTACCAGTTTCGTTTCATCAGCGCATGGTGGGAGAGAGTTATCTTGCCGGACAAAAATCATCACCACTACGCAAGATTGTGAGCAGAGATACGTCTAAATGGTCATTAACAATCGCTGTTGATGTGAAATTTATCAAGCGTTTTATTATTGGGCCCTGCCAACGCCGTAAATCACGCCTTAGACATTTCCAAAGCTATCACCTACCTTTCATAAGCACTCCATCCAACCCGATATGCTCAACCCATAACCTCATGTGGAATAGGAAAAATAGAATCGGAGAGCGGAGTTCAATTACTTGTCGATGATGTAAATTTTTCCTGAAAAAAATTGACCGAAGTCTGCGCCTCTTCCGTCCAAACTTTGACCGAAGTCTGCGCCTCTTCCGTCCAAACTTTGACCGAAGTCTGCGCCTCTTCCGTCCAAACTTTGACCGAAGTCTGCGCCTCTTCCGTCCAAACTTTGACCGAAGTCTGCGCCTCTTCCGTCCAAACTTTGACCGAAGTTGCGCCTCTTCCGTCCAAACTTTGACCGAAGTCTGCGCCTCTTCCGTCCAAACTTTGACCGAAGTCTGCGCCTCTTCCGTCCAAACTTTGACCGAAGTCTGCGCCTCTTCCGTCCAAACTTTGACCGAAGTCTGCGCCTTTCTCTGAAGCCATTTTTGTGCAGGTGAACTTTTTAAAAAATCACTTTGACTTTGTTTCTCTTGGCATTGCTGGAATTACTTCACTATTTTGTTTAGTCTATTATTAACAAACTCTTTAGTTCCAGTGACTATATTTTCTTAGTTTTCTGGATAGTTCATTTGATTTGCATATATCTTTCTCTACCCTCTAATATTCTCAGCTAATATCTCTCTCTCTCTCTCTCTTTTTTCTTTTCTACAAAGACATCCCTTCAAGTTCAGTCACTGTGTATGGGTAATCTCGGCGGATGGCCCAGATAACGTCAAGCTAACAATCACATACTCCAACTTAGTCGACAAGAGTGACTGTGGTGTAGAAAGCATCAACGTTTACGACGGTAAGTACATTTTCTTTTTAATTTTCTAATTGGTTCTTCCCACAGACGTATGTTAAACAAGAACTTCTTTCAATCTAGTTTTCTACATTGAGTCAGAATAATATCCTTATTGCTCCTACGACCACAAAGTTGTGTCATCCGATCTTCATCAGGTGTCTATCGAGCTGCGTAGTATTCAGGGAATTTCAGACTTTAGCAGTATGAGAACTACCAACACCTGTTGATTGAATAAAGGCGTCGTTTCGAGATTCCTTGAAGTTCATGCGGAATAAACAGACACGTCAAGTACGAAGTGCACAGTGGGTGAAACCTTGTGACCGGAAAAAAGAGATCAGGATATTAGTCCGAATTAAAAAAAAAAAAAAAAATGAAGGAAATTATCTCTATATTTTTCTCTTGATTTGGATTGATATATCAGTAGAGATTAGCATCTTAGTTGTTAAGATGTCATGCTACTCGTTTTACATAAATAATTATATTTTGAAGATATCATTTGTAATGTTTAATACGTCTAAACTTACGTTCTCTCTAATCATTAAACACATATAAATATATATATGAGATAACTATATATAAATTTTTACATATCAAGAAAAATATTGTGAGGAAAATATATTACAAAGTGGCAAAATCTTTCGTGTTACGTGTTTCGGACTAAATTTGTTACGTTGGTGCGATTACGCATCCGATCGAACAAGGATGCTGGGAATTTTATATTTTTTCATTTTTAAATCTAGCCGATTTCCTTTAGATTTTCTTTTTTGTTTCCATCGCTTTGGTTATGAGATATCCCACACGGTAATAATTGAAGATCGTCTAGAAATGATGAAATGTTAGGGCGCAAAAAATGTTTAAAAAGAGTATTGGGAATGCTGCTATAAAAAGAAAACTACAGCACATATCAATTCGGTATTTAATCTCCTTCGAAGTAGTCTCCTTTTAAAGCCACACATTTTATAAAGCCTTGTTTCTATTAATGAAATCATTCCTGGAACTCCTTTTTGGGATAGCGAACAGCTGCCTCTTCGCATTCTCTTGGATTTCCTCGACATCTTGACAGGAAAAAGTCGCGTCGTTGTCGGCAGCCATTACTAATGTTCGTTTCATAAATTCGCTGCGGAAAGCTAAGCGTGGAAACACGTAGTTAACTGTTTTTTTCTTTATTGTCTCAACTACTGCGCAAGAAAACTATTTACGTACACACGCTTAATTGTGCGTCGCGTGCGCAATAATCAAGACAAGTGAATATTACACTCATAGCTATTCAACAGCAAATGTATGCAAACAACACCAGTAATGGCGGCTGCGACGCGAATGAATTCGAATTTGTACTGTCGATAACTCCAAAACACTTGTGTTTACACCTAAATGTAAGCATTCGGGAAATTTTTAATGCAAACTGAGCACGTGGCCAAATCTGCAAATTAACCTTTTTTTTATATTTATATATATATATATATATATATATAAATATAAATCTTTGAAAAGAATTTAAAATAGACCATTCTTATATCCGTAAGTAAAGGAATATACAAATCGTGTGTGTGTGTAATAGTCTGCAATGATATAAGCTCAATGTTTGTATTTCAAATCGTTCGCTGTATTTATCGATTTGTTTCCGGCACGTTTTAAGCCAAATCAGTTGGTAACTATTTATCCAGAATCATGTTTGGCACAGATAAATATAGAACTTGCCCCAAATGATATTCTGTCATTCTAGATTTCTTTTTCAGTAAAAACCCTCATCTTCACCTATTCAGCTGCTGTTCAGACTTGACTAACATAATAGAAACGCAATTTCAAATGTCGTCAAACCGTATGTGTTTTGTATAGTTTTTTATTTAATCGCTTGACACAACCTACTCCTAAAACTTTAATAAAATTTCACTTTCGTTTTTCCCCCCTGTAATTCAGCCATTCACGTGAATTGTTTACAATAATATCCTCGCCAAATAATCAGCCGCCAACTAGTCTCTAATCCATAATATGTGCAAAGAATAACTGGTATTCACGACGCCATTTTCAATAGCTCTCATCTCATTACAATCATAGATTCTACCCAAAGATACCCAAATTGAGTTGAATGACTGGAAACTATAGCTAATGTTTATATATGTAACGAAAAGACTTAACGTGAAAGTTTCCAGTATGAAACTTGCGGATTATGTTGTTATTACTCGTATTATCATTATTTAGGACATCGTTAAATTCGCAAAGTTCAATATTGGATCTTAATGATAATGTATATAAAAAAATCGAAAATGAACGCTAAATTCTGTCTGTGTGTCCGTGTGTTTGAAACCCTTTTAACTCGCGCCACACTTGCTCTACTTAGATATATTATACAATTTTGGAATCAGGATGGTCCCGGGATTGAAAATCTGCCCTTCATCTGGTGCTTGAACATCTACCATTGGGATTTGTGTTCGGATGAGGAGTAAAGAGTTAAATTTTAAAATAACTTATTAAAAAATCAGTGATTTTATAAAAGTTTTTAATTTATATTGAGTTTAAATCCAATATAAGTTGTAATTTGTAAAACAAAATCTTTGTGAATTTAAAAACGTTTGTTTTAAATTCAGTTTAAAATATCTCCAAAACTTTGAATTGAAGAAAATCAATTTTATTTCTTCAAAATGCCAAAGAATCAGGGTTAAAGTGAGATGTTTCGTGACGTAAGGTTTTGAAGTTCCACAGAGATTGTGATTTGAATTTTTCCGTCCGAGTTGAAATTTTGGTCTAAATCGAACTTTTGGCCGGAATTTGACCTATAGCCCGAATCGGGTTAAAATGATGTTTTGAAGTTCCAGGAAGTGAATTGAGGAATTCAAAGTTATTTCTTCAAAATTAACATTGCTGCTTTCTATGCTGAAGCCTAAGTCTCTTTAGTTTTGGGACGATGGCTTAATTGGCTCTCCGCAGGAGTTAGCTTAAATGTTCGCACAGAGTGCGGCTTTTAAACTATTGTATAATAACTGGAAGTTTTCGTTTTATTTATTCGAGTAAGTCAGAGAAAGAAACGCATAAATCTTTCTATAATTTTTGTTTGCTGTTGAAAATAATAACTTGGACGTTTCAAAAATTTTTGTTTACTGTTATAAAAGTTTAATTATTCTTGAAGATACCAGCAGTTACGAGACGATTTTTAAAATTTAAAATGTATTTAAATAATCTAAATAACTCCTATGAAGCTTTACGTTTATTTTATTTGAAATTAAATTCAAAAGTCGTCTCATGAAAAAGGTAGAAAAAAAAAGCAAAATATTTTTGTATATGTTATGTTCCACACAAATACTTTGATTATGGTCTGATTGTGCTAAGCCAGCGTACAAGTTGTCTCCTGGTACAGCTGAAGCAGCATTATCTTTGTGCCGTGGCCCGTCTCAATGAAGGCGATCATGGCTCTCCACAATTTCTTCTAAACCCTGTTCCGCCATCCATCTACTCAAGCTCATTAAGTATGTATGCATTAGGCGTTGTTTTCTTCCGTCCCTCTTGCCATCAATCTGTCCCGTGAGGATCAGATTTTCCGAGCCCTCCTTCCTCATTATGTAACCCAGAAGTTTAAACTGTCTTTTCCTGATGTTAAGTATAAGTTTCCTTTTTGTTTCCACTTTCTCTAAAACCTCGTAGTTGTTCACATGTTCAGTCCATGTTATCCTAAGCATCCTTCTGTAGAACCACATTTCTGTTGCTTCACGTCTCTTGTAAATCTTTGAGGAGATTGTTCAGCATTCTCCGCCATACAGGAGGACAGATATCGCCTAACAGCTCAGTACAGTTTTCTTTGTTTCTAACGAAGTTTTTCTGTCTCTTAGTATTCTGCTTAGTTTTCGGAATGCTTCTTTGGCTATCTGTTGTGGAGTATTTTCACAGTGGAGGCTTGTATTTCTAATAAGTCGTCCTAAATTAGGTCCGACGTACAAAACGTTAGGAACTTGGAAAATAAGAGTCAATGGCGCAGCAATCTAGTTGTGATGGTTGGTACTTCAAATGTCCGAATCTCGACTGACGCGCTCAACACCATTCGGTATTTATCATTTCACCCACGGGAAACGAATATGGCACAAGGCCGGTTTTATTATGGGTTTCTCCGAGCCCGTAGGCTCGGCCAAAAAAATAGCCTTTTGAAGCCGATTAGACGGGTTCAGGCCCTGTCTACCTCCCCGGACGAAACCTTGCCCTTCGGCAAAGCCTCGTCCGGGTTCCTCTCTGCTAATGCAGAGAGTTCGACAGGAGGCGTGCGCAGTCAGAGACCGCTCAACACGCCATTCTCCAGACTTACCACTGCTTATTGTGGGTTTCTCCTTGCTTATTAAAAATAGCCTTTGGAGAGGCCATTACCAAAACCTTGAATAAAGGTCCGTTCCACTATCCAGAGAGTTCGACAATGCGTCTCCGGATGTCATTGTTACCACTTTCCGTCCTCTGTTACCAAGAATTATAGTCCCAATCTTTAAATTTTTTCCGTTGTTAGAAGATTTGATCTTGGTTTTAACTCCGATTTGCAATTCGCGTTTCGGGTTCATCCTTTTTTATAACAAACATGCATTTTGCTTTCTTGTAGTTTGTTAATCCTTTCTTTTCACTTCCCTTCACTACCTTCTGCAGAAACTTTTGTAGTTTTCTTTCTGTGTCTGCTACCAGCACTGTGTCATCTGCATCTCTTATGTTGTTAAGATTATGGCCACTGATAATGAATCCTGATAGGACTTCTAATTCTCTCAGAATCGCGTCGTTGTATAGGTGTAATATGTCCGGTGAGAACGCACATTCTTGTCATACACTTCTTTCTATTTTTGTATATCTGTTGAACTCATTTTCTATCCGCATGCAGGCGGTTTGCTGCCAGTATATATGTTCTGGATTATTCTAATATCCTTCTAATATTGCATGGTTACTGAGCAGTTCTAATAAATTTTTGTGGCGTACTTTATGAAACGTCCTTCTGCATTTGTATTGCACTTTCTGATTACATTCTGAGCATAAATATTGCGTTC